AGAGAATCTTGTTTGTATGGTTGTGCGTCATTAATGAAAATTACTATACCAACAACTATTATTAAACTAGAAGATTATTGTTTTAATGAATGTCTGTCATTAACTAGTATTAATATTTCAACGTCGGTAGTTGAATTAGGAAACTACTGTTTTAATTGTTGTAAGTCATTAACTAGTATTAATATACCAACAAGTATAATTGAAATAGGAAAATATTGTTTCTTTGGATGTACGTCACTAAATAATATAAACATTGAAAGTATTAAATTTATAGGAGAGAATAAAATATTCATTAATGAACCAGTGTTAATCAGTTTTGAAATACCAGAACTATTGAATTCAATCAATAATAAAGAAGTTAATCGACAAACAACAGATGATTTTATTATTCCAACAACAATAACTAAATTAGGATATTATTGTTTTAGTGGTTGTGTAGTATTATGTAAAATTACTATACCCACATCAGTCAGTGAAATAGGTTATCGTTGTTTCTCTGAATGTTCATTTTTAAGTAGTATTGATATTCGAACAACAGTGAGTAAAATAGGAGATGATTGTTTCCTTAAATCTCCATGCAAGCCAAGAATAAAATGAAACACTATACCACTAAAATACTTTACACAACACTATTTTTTCTAAAATAAAATACTTTAAATTATTGTTTGACTAATTTAATTTCTAATCATTTATACATTTCTCAATAATAAAAATGGTATTGACATAACTTATTAATTGTGGATATTTAAAATAAATATAAGTCAAGTATTGAATTATAGAAAATAAATGATGGTGTGTATTTGTTAGTCATGTTTCTTTTTTATAAACAATTTATATTTCATACTTTTATAAATTACTTGTTTATAATCGTGTTACAATCTCATTGTAATTTAACCAGTTACTATAATAATATTGATTATATATTAATTTATTGAAAATTAACGAGATGATTATATTTACATATATTGTTTCAGTATTTTATATTCATTTCTATTCCAACTCTTTGTATTTATTATCAAGTTAGTTTAATAAATTACTTCTTTATCAATAAATGAAAATAAACACAACAAAAAAATAAGAAAAATACAACTGGTAGGAGTTGAACCTACAACTCTTAACTTTTTGATGATAATAGTTTTTTATCAAGTATGTAAGAAAGTGTTTTACCATTTAAACTACAGCTGCTTTTTGAAGAAGATTTTTAAAAAGGGAGTGATACTATTACTTATTATTTCATTAAAATTTAAATTAAAAGAAAATAATTATAACAAATAGTATAAAAAACTATAATAATAGTAAATTCTCGAAATAAAGGGTTTTGAAGAAAAGAAAGAACTTTTGCAAGCCAATGTCCGAGACAGTAGCCAAGAAAAGAACCTTCAAGAAATTTGAATTACAAGGAAAATCACTTGAAGAAATCACTGCCATGCCAGAGGCTGATTTTGTCAAGATGTTGGATGCTAGAGCCAGAAGATCATATAGAAGATCCCCAAAATTAAAACATGAACGACTTGTCAAGAAACTCCTTAAAATCAAAAAGGCTACTAAAGAAGGTGAAAAACCAAAACTTGTTAAAACACATTGCAGAGATAAAATCATTCTTCCAAATATGATTGGTTCAGTTATTGGTGTTTACAATGGTAAATCTTTCACCACTGTTGAAATCAAACCAGAAATGCTTGGACATTATCTTGGAGAATTTTCAATTACTTACAAACCAGTTACCCATGGAAGACCAGGTGTAGGAGCTACCCACTCTTCCAAATTCGTTCCATTGAAATAAAATTGGATTTATTTTTTATATTACTATTTTCACTTATTAAGAAAAACACATTATTTGTTTAAATGTATGATGTTGATAATTTACAAAAGAAATGTTTTTGTTTTCAAGAGTCATTGAGGCATTAGTATTTAATGATAACAACAAAATTATAAATTAATAAGAAAGAAATAATTTGAATCATTTGAGCAACAGCATATTGATAATTTTATGACCAGATGAATATAACAAATAATAAATTAATAAGAAAGAAAATTATATTAATTGATACTGTTGAACAACAGAGAACCAAAAAAAAGAAATGATAAAAAATCATGAAAAGAAAAAAAGAAAATCTAAAAAAAAGAAGAGATAAAGAGAAAAAAGTTCTCAAAGAGAAAGAAGAGGAAGGAACTAAGAATTAAAAAATCATAATATTATAGCTTATAATGAGCACAACAAAATTAATTTTTATTGCTCTTATTATTGTAAGTTGTATTGCAGAGAATTTTATTAGATTCCCATATCCTGGACTTCCAAGTACAGATATAGATGGAAAGAAAGAATATGCTATTTTCAGAAAGAAACAACAAGCATACTTATTAATTAATATGCTTAGAGTTGACCCACAAGCATTTGTTGAAAAATATATGAAACCAGTAATTGCAGATGATTCATGGAGACTTCTTTTTAAAACTGAATCAATTAGATTAAAGAAATTCCCAGATTATTATCCATTGTATCAAGATGCATTACTTGAACAAACAGCATCACACGCTAGACTTGGAGAGTCATTTGCTAATGTTAGATCAAGATTAAAATCAAAATTACCAGAAAAATTAGATGGATTTATTCCAGGATATAAACCACTTAAATTACTTGCACAAACATTAATGTGGAAAACTAAAACTCAAAATGATTTCTTCAGTTATTTATGTCATGGAACATATCAAGATATTCAACATTGTGGAAAGAAAGATTTAGTTCTTGCAGGATGTAAACCAGATTATATTAATAGAAAAACACCAAGAGGAAGAATAAGATTTTTATTAAGACCATCAGGAGCTGTTGGATGTAATACAGTTAATACTCTTGTTAAAGATGAGAATTTATTTGCATGTGATGTAACATATCCAGACTTTAGTCCAAGACTTAGAATTAAATCACCAATGATTGCAGGAAATTGGTTTAATACTGGAATTGGAAATTCAAGAATTTATGCAGTTGTTATCCATGTTCCACAACATGAAAAGGTTAGTAAAGTAGAATTAATTATTGACGGTAAAATGATTGAATTACCACTTGCTTATCAAAATGGAGTTACACATGTTTATAGTATTGCTTATACACCACTCAAACATATTCCAAGTTTAATGAAGGGATATTTCTTCCATGCAGTTATTAATGGAAAGAATTTCTTCTATCCAGCACAATATTATTATGATTGGGAAGAAAATATTAAATTAAATATTAAACAAAGATATAATGGATTTTGTAAGATTCCATTCCCAGATAGAACATGTGATGTTTGTGATGAAGGATATAGAAATGTTAATGGAACCTGTGTTAGATGTCCATTTGAAAATTGTGCAGAATGTACTGCTGATGTTTGTACTAAATGTTCTAAAGGACATTTACTCTCTTATGGAACATGCACAACACCATGTATTGAACATTGTGATGTATGCTCATATTCAACAACATGTGATAAATGTGCACCAACTCATTTCTTAAATGCTATTAATGGAACATGTGTTGAATGTTCAGAAAAATTCCAAGATTGTGCAACATGTACTAATGAGAAATGTTTGACATACATGTGTCAATATACTGATCCAACATGTAATATGAAGAAAACACCAGGACAATATTTCAGTGAAATAACACAAAAATGTGAGAAATGTTCAGAAGGATGTAAGAGTTGTACATATGATCAATTTAGAGGAAGTAAATGTCTTGTATGTAATAATGGACTTTTCCTTACAGAAGAAGGAGAATGTATTCCATGTCATTATGTTGATGGATGTGCACCAGGACAATGTGATGGTATTAAATGTCTTAGATGTAAAAGAGGATATTATCCATCTGGAAAAGGATGTATTAAATGTGATGAGACTTGTGCACAATGTACTACTAATGGAACATGTGTTGCATGTGCATATGGATATTGGCTTGATCCAGAATATGGTAAATGTGTTGAAAGTTATGAAGTAGAAAATTGTGAAAGAAAGAATGCTCATGGAGTATGTTCAAAATGTAAAGAAGGATTTGGATTTGATAAATATCATAAATGTGTTGCATGTGATGCCTCATGTAAGAAATGCTTCTTCGCTGATAAATGTGAAGAATGTAAAGAAACATTCTATAATGATAAAGGACATTGTATTCCATGTTCAAGAAGAGGATGTGATCTTTGTGATGCTAATGAGTGTTTCAGTTGTCAACCTAATTCATATCTTCATAATGGAGTCTGTGTTAGAGGACCACCAGGATGTTCATTATGTCATGACAAAGCACCAATTTGTAAAGTATGTGAAAAAGGAATGAAGATGGAGAATGGACATTGTGTTCCAGATTGTGACATTAAGAATTGTGCTAAATGTAATGGTGATGAAACATGCAGATATTGTAAATCTACCTTAAATCCATTTTATGGATATGAACCAGCACCAAATGGAACAGATCCATGTCCATTTGTTTGTGACCCAGTTGAATTAAATTGTTTATTAACAGAAAAAATGAAAAGAGGAGAAGTTGATGCTTGTTTCTCTCTTGGATGTAAATATTGTCCACCACATACATTTAGAAGACATCACAAATGCATCAAATGTGCTGTTGGATGTGCTCATTGTTTAAATGAAAAAGAATGTATTAAATGTCTTCCAGGATATAGTTATTATATGGGAGAATGTTTCCAATGCAATAAGAATGGTACTTGTGGAGAAGGAGAATATATGGAAGGATGTACTTGTACATCATGTGAAAAGAAATTCCCACATTGTTCAGCATGTGATAAAGATCAATGTATTGATTGTGAACCTCATTTTATCTTATCAGAAAATAAAACTAGTTGTGTCCCATGTACTAAAAAGACATGTCCACCACCACCCCCACCACCTTGTCGTGGTAAAGACTGTGAACGTCCACATCATCCAGACTGTGACGGTGATGATTGTCCAAAACCAGAGCCAACCCCTGATCCAACTCCAGACCCAGATGTCCCAGTTCCACAAGAATGTAATGCCACTGCTAATTTCTCAAGAATTGGAGACAGTTATGTCTTTGATCCAATGTGCGTAAAGAAAGATGCAGATTGTTATTGTACTGAATGTGCATGTGGATATGAATTGTCAATTACCAATCACACATGTGTAGAAGTTTCAGAAGAAAAGAAATTAAATCTTTGCTGTAATACTGAAGATGGATGTTGTACATCATGTCAACCAGGATATAAATTAAATGGATGCAAATGTGTTAAAGATTGCAAATGTGGAGAAAATGATGATGGAACATGTAAAGAAATAGTTGGAATTGAAAATTGTAAGACAGTTGGATGTGATAATATTTGTCAAGAATGTTTAGAAGGATATTATTTGAATGGAACAACATGTGATAAATGTATGGATAATTGTACTCATTGTAAGAATAATAATACATGTACACAATGTCAAGAAGGATATTATTTGAATGAGACAACATTACTTTGTGATAGATGTAAGAATTGTAGTGGTATTTGTGATTCTACAGGACTTGTTTGTGAGTCATGTGCACCAGGACAATACCTTAATGAAACTACTGGAGAGTGTGAGTCATGTATTGGATGTGAACGATGTGTAGTTAATGACAATGTTGTTTATTGTACTTTATGTGCTGATGGATCAGTTCCAGTCGATGGATATTGTGCTAAATCAACAACATTTGCTAGATCAGGTGTTAATGGAATCAGTGTTATTCTTGCCATGGTTATGATGATTGCTTTGATACTTTAAGAAGCAGGTAAGTCAAGTTAATTGTTAGCTGAAAATTTTTGGGTTAATTTTAAAAATTAAAAAAAAGAAAGAAAAAGAGAAAAACAATAAAAAGGAACTTTCTTATTTTCTTAAATTGTTTATTAATCATTGAGATGGATATAGTTATTGCACATTGCAAAGGAACGATGGTTCGAAGAACATATGACTTCCATAAAATGTTGAAAAGGAAATTTGTTGTGAACGAGATATTTGAAACTGAACTCAACTTTGTTACTCAACTCAATATGGTTATTGTATTGTTTAAGAAACCATTGGAAGATGCTAAAGGAAAAATCCTTCCTAAACTTTTAATACGAACATTATTCCATAACATAGATCAAGTTATGACTGCAGCATGTATGAATGCCAATATTTTTCAAAAATGTATTGTAGATTGGAAATATGATTCATGTTTT